GGAATGTGAAGTAAACAGAGAAAAAGAATAAAAAGACATCATTCAAACTGAATGCAGGCTTACAGACGAATGGAAACCACTGCCTGTAATTAATGTTGACAGTTTGTCCTAAAACTGATGGGAGTGTGAAAAATGAAAATGTTTTGCTACATGTATAAAACATGTTTATGTGAAAAAAAAACATAATCTTCGAGGGATGGGCAATAAAACTTAACATGTAATCATGATGTTGTCTATAATTAAATGGTATAGAGTTTGACATTGCTGCCAGTCTAAGGAAGATCCTGGCTGATAATACCTTAAGTCTGCAGAAAGCAGATATCCTCCTATATCCTGCTGCTTTGTACATTTAACTTTCTAATTTATCTAATAATTGCATTTTCTGAAAGTATGTACTCAGTATGTATGTATGTAAAAATTAAGTACTTTTCATGGAGTCATCTGGATGTACGGTATACTGATTCTGATTTTTATGTAATTGAGTATCGGCGGCAAAAGTCTTTTGACTGTTCATTAGAACTTTTACTAAAATTCTTGGACTGTTCTGCAGTTCTCCTCAGCAGTACTGCAGAAACTATATGTGTCTGTAACTCCGGACCTGGCTGTGAAACCTGATGTGGATGTTTGAGTTCATGCTGGTTCATACAGTGGCCTACAAATGCAATCATGATGCATTGGTTGAAACAATTTTAATAGATAAACAGCATATACCAAAATGATGCAATTTTGAAATCACATGCAAAAGTCGAAAACAAATACAGAAAAATGCTGCTCAGTCTGCAAGCGGCTGCCCCTGCCATGCCTCTCTTTACCTGTAAACTTCTCTGTTGGCAACATTCATCAAAATTAGCCTATTTTCTACTACTTTCTAACGTTTGATGGGGCAGTCAAGTAAAGACTGAGATTTCTTGAAGGAGCTGCAGTGGGAGTCTTTGTTTTCATTCTTTTGAAACATTCCCACCATCAATCCGTGTTTCCTGTTTCTCTTCCCCTCTTTAGAGGTTTTCCCCTCTTCTCCTCTTTACTTGCTTCAGAAGTGAACATTTTTTTTTCCTTTCCAAAATTTTACCTCTCTGTCTTTCGGTCTTTGTTGTCAGTGGATGCTCTTAGAAACTTTAAGAATCCCAAATGTTTTTATTTCATTTATAGGGTTATTCTCAACGATTGCTTAGGATTGAAACACACACACACACTGCATAAGACCACACTGTGAAAAGGCCTTTCATGGAGACAGCGCTTCACCAAACATCCAGACCCCCACTAAACCACATATTAACATTGTTTATCTGCTTGTCATTCAGACCATACTGTGTGTATCCATGAAACATTTTTTATTTCATTTTGTCTCCATGCTACTTCGAGGTTCTAGTCGGTGTAAATGGAAACTTACCTCCTTTAAAGTATCAGTCTATCTTCATTTCATTCTAAAATGCATATTTGCTAAACACATGTGGTGAGCAGAGAGTCTGTGGTTGTAGTATATAAATTCATTTCATTCTTTGCCATAAATTGGTGTTATTTATCAACGGGGTCAGTGTTCTGAATGCTTGTGTTAGTGTTGTTTAGTTCAGGCCGTGCAGGACATTTTGAATTTCTCTCAGGATCAATAAAGTATCTATCTATCTATCTATCTTTCTATTATTATTATTATTGCTGGACATTGGAGCACGAGTGACTATTATTCTGGTTAGCTTATCAGCCTTACTCTAGAATTTTTCTGTTCGAAAAAAACACATAATGAAAGCAGGATAAATAATAGTACAATGTGAACACACAGATTGATGCACAGTCTGAACACGATGCTAAAGAGACCTGAGTGTTCATGATGTGGGAGCTCAGAACCACTGTGGGTCTGACTATCTGCTTAAGAGCTCATAGATTCAGTTTAATTGGCGGTGCGTTCACTCGTGTGAAATCGTAACGTCTTGAACATGTGTGTGTGAGCGTGCACCCACAGGAGGAAAACAAGCCGCTATTCAGACAGTGTGGTCTCATGTAAGAAGCTGCTTAAACCCACACACAGCCCCCTTTATACAGTGCATGCCTGACACACAAACTCTCACACGCACACGCACACGCGCGCGCGCACACACACACACACACACACACACACACACACACACACACACACACACACACACACACACACACACACACACACACACACACACACACACACACACACAGTGAGTGAAAGCCTTGTGATGGTTTGAATTGGTAAACATATGGCAATGACATAGGTCTTTCTTTTTCTCTTTATTCTTAATTTGAGTGGAATGACGAGGATAATAAGTAAGATCTTCTTTTAATGATATAATAAATAAATAAATCCATCAGTCTTCATTTGTATAGCACCTATTCATAACAAATGTTATTTCAAGACACTTTACAAAAGAGCAGGTAAAAGCCCTTACTCATTGTTATATTATCTACAAAGACCCAACATTAATTCATATCATGTACTGTAGACAATGAAATTCCCAGATTTTTGCAATTTTAAGTTGAGAAACATTATTGTGAAATAATTGCACTATTTGCCAGCACAGTCTTACAGAGAGTGGTGGACCCCTCTCCACCCTCCTACTTCAGAAAGACTCAGCCGCTCTGGGATGCTCAAGCATGAATGTTTGGAAACTTCTCAAGTCCCACATGTTTCTGTCATCAAATTAAAAACAGGCATTTTTCAAAAAACATTTGGTATGGGGTTGAATGGGTTTCTAACACAATGCAGTTAGGTGCTGAGTAAACGTAATAAGGTGAACAGTAGTAATGGTAGAGCACAGTAACTGTTGTGGTGCTGTTTTGATTTCTTTGTGAAAGTGGAACTTTAGCAAGAAGACATGGTGAGGGCGATAAGGAGCAGGATGGAGGTAAGGTATTAGTCAACCTGCAGAGGCAAGAGCAGTTCAGATCTACCAGCCCCACACTTCCCCCTCCCTCCGAGGATACCAGGAGCCAAACCTAGAAAGAAAAACACCTCTGTATTCTCAGTAGTCAAACTGACCCCTGCTGGTCTTGGGGGGCTGGGTTCGGTCCTGGCCTGGCTCTCCCCCTAGGCTGTTTTAAGTTGTGTCATGGTGTAAAATGCCAAATTAGAGCAGATGTTCTCATTGTTGTTCTATTTCCATGAGTAATGTCAGCTTTCTGTGTCTTCCAATATCAAAAGAACAGACATCTGTGTGTTTTAAAGACTTCATAATAAAGGACTATGGTACATACTGGGTGTTTAAAGACTTGAGCTGACCTGACTAAGAACGTAAAATGATCAAGTGCCCTGTCATTTTAAACGTCAATAGTCAGAGACCCGGAAGGGCTGCATGTGATTGACTTAATGCAATGAAGACAGTGATTTATAATCATTATCCACCAGCTTCTAACCCCACAGAAACAGGAAAACCAGTCATTCAAAGGTTCATTTCATCAAGATCCTCTGTAATGACGTCCACAATCAAGCTAATGTGACCTATCTATCTCATTATCTAACTACTTAGCTAGCAACTTATTATTCATATAGTACGCCCAAGTGATTACTTTAACATCATCAATCACAGATTTACATCAAAATCCACTGGAGCTTCTATAGAAGGAAAAAATCAAAGCCAGAGATGATAAAGACAAAGTCATTCATTTCCACTGGGAGATTTCTATTACTTCAGCAGAGACTCTTCAAAGAACAAAAACATCTTAGTTACAAAAAGGTTATTATAAATGACTGGATGCTACGAAGCAACAATATGTAGGAATTTGGTTTGGTAATGAAGGTCTCTGAGTACAACTACTGTTGTAAGACTAATAGGCAACATGCAGAGGGTAAGAAGCCTGCAAAGACATTGCAAGAAGCCGAACAACCTTGTCGACTAACAAGGTGCAGTAATGTTTGCAGTATAAGCATCTTCAGGCCATTGTTTGCATGTGTAGTATGTGTACTTGTATCCAGCTGTTGTCATGATATTTATTGGCTTTGGCTTAATGGCTACTGGAGAGGGTAATTATTGGCATCCTATATGAGGTAGGTTTGTATGGTTCCAAACTTATGAAGTTATGAAGATTAACAAGGAAACAGACAACTTTTTTGTGTAGGACAGATTTTTAGCTTCTTTTTATTCTTTTTACAACGATGACATCTGTCACCGTCTTCTTAGCCTCAAGTCATTGTATCAAACCGTACAGAGACGGGCTCGCTGACTTCTTTTTATACCTAAAGGCTTGTGTGTGAAATAATGCATAAACCGTATGCACTTCTTATAAGATGATTTCAGCCCGCTGCAAAAGTGACATACTGCAGTAAATAGGATCAGACCAAGTTATGTACATTTGAGAGACGGCATTCTACTTGTTGAAAGTTATTGTCCTATTAGCTTTATCTTTGAAACTAATATTTTAAAATGGTTTAAATAAAAATAAATAAGTTACATGTAGTAGCTCAAAATTATCTAATGCAAAAATAATGAGTTGCTGAATCATGCAAACTAATAATTTGAAAAAGATGATTAGCTTTCAGAAGAATTTTTTGAAATGTCTTGATTAACTTTCAGAACTGTGAATCTGATAGGGTTTTTTGTGTGTTTATGATTAAATGTGAATTTCAAAAATATTTCAAAAATCTCCCATACTGCTAATGGTGTAGAGTAAGAGTTGCATTTGCACCATTGATATGAACACAATTTTGACTTTTACATGGACATTATCAGTTTTCCCACTTTTGCCGGTAGCTTTTTGTCCTGCTTAAGATAAGTTTCTTCAGGACTTTCTCTTTAATGAAACTTTCCTACAACCACTGCACATTCTAAGGCCATGAGGCAAATATGAATAAGGACAGAGGCATTATATAATTTATAAAGAACTTTTCTGGGTGAGGTTTTCAAACAATAGGTCCTGAAAGTGAAAACACTTGAATTTGGTGTTCTTGTTCTCTGGGCTGTATTGATGTTGCTTTTGAAAAATATTCCCATCTGTGTGCAATGTGTTGATTTGGTTCTGTCTCTTCCTTTGTATTTCAGAGCAGTCTCCAGTGTACACCATGGAGTATTAAGGCATCTTTAGAGCAACAAGTAGCAGAGCTGAATGTTAACTCTGAGGTCAAATCAGCAGATCCGGCTGATCTGGAGGACAACCAACTGAGCTCAGGTAAATAAATGAACATAACCTGAAGTTTCAACCCAAAAATGGTCATTTAAAAGCCAGTGGTTTTGTGCTTTGTGACCGTTTGATGTCCCTTTTGTGCATCTTTGTGTGTTTTGCTTTTTGCAGATACTGGACAAACCTACCCCTACATTGCAAAATATGAATCACTAAACATTATTAATTTCCATCACTTTGACTTGTAAGCGTACTGAAACTCTGTACAAAGGTACAAGTACTGTTAAGTTACTCTGTTACAAGCACTGGTGTAAGAACATACTTTAGTAAAAGTGCAAAGTATTCTTCTCAAAAACTCCTCATATATACATTTTAACAGTTAATCCTAAATGCATCAATATCAGGCATTAAATCAAAGAGGTTTCAGCTTCTTTAAATCGTCATTCTAAATGACATCTAACTCCTGTGCTGTTCTGTTCAGTCATCACAGTCACCTCCACAAACCTCCACATCTCATTCTCAACTCATCACATACCGACTACTTGTCAGCAACCCTATGTTAATCATACAGACAGCATACATTCACATCTGAATGTGGTGCACCGTAATTTTCAAGTGACTTCATGTAAAACCATTGTAGCTGTATGAGGACTGCTACGTTTTCCATATATTTAACCATTCATCTTTCTGCTTCACATGTTCATCATTGGCCTTTAAGCCTTTATATGGCTTTTGGCATTTAAAGTAATGCCAGTGTTTCGGTTAATGAAATTGTGTTCATGCGTAGTATTTGTCAATTAGGTAAGGAGTCTAGATGACCCTGATGAAGGACACAACCCGAAACATGTCGGTCTAATTTGTTAATAAAGTTGATCTTCGTGCTACAAGTGTTGCTGGAGCTTTTTGACCTCTTCTAAGCCTTTCACTTTTCATGCACCTTGGTAGTTGGTGAAGTTGATCCGGGAAATCCTCTACTTCTTCAATTAGGTAAGGAGGCAGAGCTAAATTTCAGCTTCAATGTATAAGCTCAATTATGAAACAAGTATGTTGGTCTCCCCTTTTGAGTAAATCACATTTGAGTATCAGGTATACTCAGGTATGCAGTGCAGACATGGGAGTAAGTCACACATATACAAGTCACAAGCAAGTCTCAAGTCTCAACCTTCAAGTCTCTAGCAAGTCACAAGTCACTGCTGTGAGAATCAAGCAAGTCAAGTCATTACTCAGGTCAAGCAAGTCACAAGTCAAGTCATACGAAAGTCTGATCACCCAATGTATGGGCTACCTAGAAATAGTAGTTGGAAAAAGGGCAAAATAGCAAGAAGCATCTTGATGGACGGACTTGCCTCACAGACTACTATGGTAGGGTTTTTAGAACAGGGATGGCTTTTGGCTGGAAACTACTTGTGAATGGAAGGTCGGATATACAAATTTCTTTGCATAGTGTTTGTTCTATTTCTATCCAAGAGTTGTCTGATGCGACAGGATTGGTCCATTTGTGTATGTATTGCAGTTGGTGAGCGATTAAATACCGGTAATAGGGAAATGACGAATGAACTGTTGCTTGTTAAGCCCTTTTATAGTCTGACAACTCAAATTGTTTTTTTCACTGCATATCACACCTAACCATTCACACCCCTTTACACACTGACAGAAAAATTTTAACTGCAACAATGTATCTAATCACTTTGTCTTTGCTCTCTTTGTCAGGTGGGGTCCTTGTTGAACAGCAGAATAGATCTCCTGAATCAAATGACTGCCCTATAGTCCTGCGCTCCCTCTCAGCCACTGAGGGAACAGGGAAGATGGAGACAGGAGATACATGGCAGGCAGACTCAAGAGGGGCCACGGCTTTTGTGGAGATGAGAGTTGTTTACCCAAGTCAGGAAGATTTTCAACAAGCCCAGAAGGTAAAGACTTATATACTTGGATTGATCCAACGCCGAGCACTATCCACACGACCATCGAAGCCCCGAACTAGCCTGGCACATGAAGCCCGAGGTGCCACTGTGGTGAGACAGAGTAGTGTCTGCTGCAAGGAAGAGCAACATACTCAGAAACAGATGCCTGTTCTAGATATCTCTCCTCCATCCCAGTGTTTAGAGGAAACTGCTCCACAGTCTTGCCATTACATAGAGCAGGAGTGTAACTTCAGGGCAGGATTTACAGAAAGTCCTCCACCCCCTTATCACCACCATCCCCTCCAGCAAAGTGTCCAGCATCAACCAGGACTTTACCACATGCTCAGACAGGCCTCCACGATGAATACCTCCTGCTCAACCTTGCTGGACTATCCATCTTTCAGAGTGCTGCAAGCCCACCAAGACTCAAGCAATAGTGAGCCTGATTCGCCTCAGCAATATCACTGTAACTATCCACCTCCAACTCCGTCTACCCCTATCCAACAGCCTTTACCTGATGAGCAGCTGGTGAACGCTGAGTATATTCCGGCCCAGCCCTGCCGAGCATCTACCAGAGCTTATGCTCATCACCACTCCAACCCGAACAAGGGCTCTGGGGTGAACAAACCCAATCAAAGCACTTACTCTCCAGAAAGAGGCCATCATCATCATCATCAAGAGCAGCAGCTAACAGAATCTCAGACCCAACCCTCCAGATCCCGAGGGGGTGCAAAGAAGTGTCGCTCTAATGAAGACAGAAGTGGTGCCAGCAGGAAGTCGGGGAAGAAGGCATGTAGGTCCCAGTCAGAGAACAGCCTGCAAAGGGTTCCAGAGCGGAAGTACAATACAGTAGAAAGGGATGGTGGAGGAAGTGGAAGCGGTGGAAGGGGAAGCCGTAGTAGTCAATCCAAGAGCAAGAAGCATCCGCACGGAGGGGCGAACTACCGCCGCTGGCAGTCCACACAGGAGCTAAGCCAGGATGAGGCTGACCAAACACCTGTGCAAGCTCCTGTGCAGGGGTCATCAGCTTCAAACCAAAGGGATCATTGTGGAAGACGGACAAGGAAATCTCGCTCTACGCAAGCACCATTTGCCTACCAACATCACCATCACTCACGCCATCATCAACATATGGAGTACCAGTTTGAGAGGGACCAAGTGCACCCGTGTCAGCAGCCTAGTAAGGACTACCCTCACCAAGGTCAGGGTGAGACTGAGTCCAGCATGAGTGAGGCTGATTCTCCAAATTCCAGCTCTTTGTCAAGTGACTCAGACGAAAGTGGTGGTCTGGTTTGGCCCCAACAACTACCCCCTCATCTTTCCCTCCCATCACCTTCCGCCCAATCTGGAGCCCCACTCCAGCCAAAGGCTTTTGTCAAGATTAAAGCTTCCCATGCCCTGAAAAAGAAGATCTTACGCTTCCGCACTGGTTCTCTGAAAGTAATGACCACTGTTTAAAGTGTAACTCTTTTTTAACTGAAAGAATCAGGGGCCAGGTTCACAAATCCTTTGTAAGAAAAAAAAAACTTCTTAAGTGCTGCTTTCTTCCTAACTTTGATATTCGTGAATAAAGTGGGTTTTTATTTTCTTCACTTTCTTCTTATGTTTCTTCCTAAGAAAAAAACGTAAGAATGAACAAGATTCTTGAAATCAAAGTTCTTACATTTCTTTGTATTATTATAATTTTCTTCGTAACTTTAAGATCATACCACACCTGTCCTAAAATTGTAAGAGTGAAAAGGTAAGCCTTTAAATTCATTAATTTAAACACAATTTTAGCTTGCTACTACTGTTTTTGGTGTAAGTCTCCTTTCTCTGGTACTCCTTTTAAATAAGTTAGCAAATTGGACAGTTAATTTTAATCTAATTTGCCTTTACCCAGAGAAACAAACTAATTCTGAAATCTTTTCCTTTACTCAAAGTTATTTTTTTTAGATAAAAATAAATCATAAATATGGTTGTCACTTATACATATTCTAACTGTTTTCTACATGGAAGTACTTTGGGTTGCAGCTAGGGAGGAAAATATAGGCATAGGCCTGCCCTATAGCACCTGAGAGGTTTGTAAGTGAGAAAATTAAGAGTTTAATTCCTGAATGTTTTCTTAAGAACAGTGTCATTTCATAAAAACCTTTTTATTTTCTTACTAACTAACTTCTCAGATGCTATAGGGCAGGTATGTGTGCCCTTATAATAGGTCTATGCCTATGCATATGCCTATTTACATTGTGTGTAGCACCATTGACTAAAGCACCGAAATGTTTTAAATTATAATAAACATGTTTGTCAACATCATTGCAATCGGTTAGTTATCAATCTTAAAAAAAAACATTAGTTGACTTGAGAATTGAAACATTAGTTTCTCTAGGTAAAGGCAAATTAGTTTAAAATGAACTGTCAAATTTGCTATCTTATTTTCAAGCAGTACCAGAGACGTAACTTACACCCAAAACAATAGTGGCAAGTTAAAATTAACAATAAATGTTAGACAAATTTAATAAAACTGACACTTTAGGACAAGTGTAGCATGGTCTTAAAGTTACGAAGAAAATTAGAAATAAATTTGTTTTCAAGAATCTCATCTGTTCTTAAGTTTTTTCTCAGGAAGAAACATAAGAAGAAAGTTAAAAAGAATAAAAATGCACTTTATTTATGAATATCAAATCTTCTTTACTTTTGTCTTAAGACTGAAGTTAAAAAGAAAGCAGCATTTAAGACTTTCTTAAGAAGGTTTTTTTTTTATCCTGACCCTGAGCTGCAGTGCCTTGATCGATGTAGAGCAATGGGCCGAACATTTAAGATAGTAATGTGAGCATGCGGGTACGCTGATCTTGGCCAACAGAATTGATTGGATGGTTTTATATCAGATTTAACTAAAAGTTAAAAAGGAAATGACCATCATTATATCAGCCCTTTGTCCTGCATTTCTTGTATATCTTGTGAAAAGTTCTGTCGCCCTTATTTAGGCACATTTTTCCCAATATCCATCTAAATGTAAATAGCATCTTCCTTCAGTTAGACCAATAAGTTGTGACTAGGCACAGATAACTCTTGATTGTTCTAACCATTAGTTTAGGTAGGGATATAAAGCCTCAGTGTTACAAGTCAGAAACAGCACAATGTTCGAATGCTAGTTCATGCCAAAGATTTGCGACAAGATCAGTTTAAACTTGCAGCTACTTGCAAAGCAATGTGCTTGTCTACACAATCTAAATACTGCCGACAACAATGCAACTTAACCAGACGTTACTTGTTTCTGTCTTTATCATGGAAGTAACAATGAGCCACAGCTCTGTTCAGTTATTTGATGAAGAATCATGCAGAACTGCAGACATGCAGAGAAGAGAGATCAAAGAGGCAGGATGAATCTTTGACTTAATTGACACAAAATGTTGCTTCACCTTACTTCCTGCATGGTGTTGTAGGGTTAGAAGCATGTTATATGTGTTCTAGAAATCACTTTCACACAATCAGAAAATATAATCAAACTTTCTGATTCACTGCTTTTTTTCTTTTAGTCAATGCTGCTCTATGAGCTGGAAGGAGGGGCAGCCTGTGAATGTTGGGTTAATTCAGAGCAATGGGAAGCTCATTATAAACATTGCTACTCCTAAAACACATTTTCAAGATGATTCCCTCTTCATCCAAAACTCTACCATTTTGGTATTTTACTCTACTTGCTGACTTAGTTACATACTAATTGTCTGTTGAAAAATACGATTGGCCTTTTGATCTAAATCCAGCCTATAGTGACTTAAGGCTGCCCGTAGCAAAGTAAAATTACGGATAAGATCTTATTTATGTCTTATCTTTGTCTCCTAGACAAAAATGAGCACTATTTAAGACCAAAACGAGTTTTTTGATTCTGAGAAATTAAAATAGTTTGTCTCACAGTTGGCCCTGAGTGAGATCCCTTATTTGTCTTACAGGTGCCTCATTCCAAAATCTAAGCTAAAAGAAAAATGTAATTACTGTGAGCTCTCAGATTTGATGAAGTGAAGGTTCAGTCTAAAGTCAAATTTCTTTTAATTGTCTTAGTTGTCTCATTTCAAGCTCTCAGCGAAGATGTCTCATTCATAGATCTGAGCTTAAAGAAAAGTGAGACAATACGTCTCAATATGACCAAAACTATATAAAAAAAAACTAAGATAAAGATAAGACACATAAGAGACAAAGATATCTCCAGTTAGATGATATGTTTCTTATATTATCCTCATGAACTTCTCTTGAGAAAAAAATCTTTCTTGTCAGTCTTATAAATTAATTGTCTCATTTTCGTCTGATTATATGCTCTTAAAGTTTTCCTTAGAGCAAAGATTCTGACTGAAAAAGTACACAATAAAGACAAAAATTTGATTTTCGTAGATTTTTAGCTATAGGTATTACACCGCAAACTGACAACAAAGAACAACCTGCGATGAAACGGACTGCGTAGTGTTCTGTCAGGCCCAAAGTCATACTGCTCACACCAAACTGATAACAGCCTACTGCCAATTAGTTTTTGGGAGAGACAATAACACTCCTTATAAGCAGATTGCGGCAGTCTGATGTTTTTCTCGCAAAGCAGAAAACTGCAAGTGTCGAACCAAGGATATACTAGTGGCAGGGTTTTTACACTGGTTTATAATTTTTCTGCTGAGCATGTTTGTAATTACCTCCACTTGAGAAAATGTCAGAAGTTATGGAAATGGTACTGGCTTTACATGAGAAGAGACTTCTGGGCTTGTTCTCTTGACTTGTTGTTTTTTTTCCTTTGTGACTTCTGTTTCTCTTCTCGTGCCCTGATATTTTTGCTCAGAGTAATTTGTCTCCCCGACTGGTCGCAGCTGGTTCTACACATTGAATCAGGCTAAAAGCCTCTGACAAGCCTTGAGCAGTACCAAAGCTGCTTTTCACACCACACCGAGCATAACCACTGACTCTCACTGACACTTGACAAGCCCTGATCCCTGACGGTCAGGCCAGTGTGTACTTTTAGCCAGTGTGTACCCAGGCTCTCCCGACAGCCAGCATGAGTCAGGCTAAGACACAAGGCTGCACCTTCTCTCTGCAATGTTCTAAAATTATTGTACTATATAGTAACAAATCCATGTCCGAAACTTTGCTTGATTTTACTCATGAGTAGCTCCACATTTTACATTTTATAATTTATAGAACAACATTGTTTCCACTGAAGTATAACTGCTTCTTTAAAGCAGGGTTTGTTTCCAGGTAGTCAGCCTCTATTACACATAACACAACACAAAAGGCTCCTTTTCTCCAAGCTTTCCACATATCTTTTCTATTATCTTTACCAACCAATTACTCATGAGATCACAGGCAATGTATGGTTTAGGAATTGGGGGGCTACAATGCAGAAACAAACCACAAACTTTCATATTTGTTGACATATTAAATGTCTTATTGTGTTTAAAGCAACAATATGTAACCTTTCAACCTTTGAACAGCAGTTTCAAAGGTCAATTTAATAGCACAATAACTTTCAACATAGAGAATCTTGTCTCTCCCATGCCCACAGCGCAACCAATCCCCAGTTTACTGCGGTATGTAAATTTGCCAATTTCAACTTAACATTAGGCTGTATGGTTAATGGTGTCACTGTTGTCTTGTGTTCAGCAGCTTTACCGGGTGCAGAAAGTCAGCTAGTCCAGGTTAGGCCTCAGGTCTACCAATTAATCATAAATCCATCTTACAATGTTGGCACTTTCCTTGTACATGGTAATTGGCATTGAGCTTGTATAGCGCCATTTTACATTGCAGGTCACGTCTACACATTATCAAAGCCCAGACAAGGCATTAGGGAGCATCTTGGGTTTAAGTGTCTTGTCCAAGGACAAATCAACATGTGATTGCAGGAGCTGGGGATCGAATCCCCCAACATCCCATTTGATAGACGACCGACTCTTCCACTGAACCACAGTCACCCTATTTGATCTTACCTTTATAAGTTAGAAACTTTAGAATTTTGGAACCTTACCCATTCAACCTATCTCAACACCCATGTAGTAAATGACTCTCCCCAATGAAGCCATTAAGCCACAGCCCTAGATATTATTTAGTGTTGCTGTGGCAGAATTGAGATGTGACAACTCACACATTTCAAAAACATTGTAGTCTTTTTCAGTTATTCTACTAATTAGATCTCTTAGGAAACAAGCTCAACAGTTGAAGTTGAAGCATGTTGCTGACAACATACCTGCCTATCAGTCTACTAGTCTGGTTTACACATCGTAAAGCTCGCTGTGTTTTAAATCAGGGCTGTTTGTATGGAGTGTCTCCTCCTTGGTTTGCAGAGCTAACTTGAGCTGCAACCGGGTCTCCAGTGTTTGCAGTGGAGGGCTCTCTACTAGTTTAGTAGAAACTTTTTGTTGTTTTGCTCAGTGCTTCGTTTCTGTAAGATAAGTTTTCCTTCCGACACTTAGACTATAACTCACCGCTATATTCTTATTGTTTAACTCGAGTAGGGGGAAATGATGTCTTTATTTCTGAAAGAGAGAGCTCACATCTTAATGATCACCTGTTATTTGTGCAAAATCTGGTAACACTGTATTACTGCACCTTGTTAGTCGACATGGTTGTTTCTTACAACATCTTTTCCAACTTTGCATCCTCTGCTTGTGAACAAATGCATAATGTCGATGAGGTATAGTCGGAACCGCACTATTTGTGTCTTACAACAATGCAGTGATGGTACTCAGAGACAAATCCACAGCAAACTAAATTCCTACATATTGTTGCTTTAAAGTTAAATAAGAGTTTAACTTAAGAAAAAAAAAAGATCTCTCCTAATAATTTGGGTTAAAGAAAATGAAGTCGGACATGGGGGAATGTGACCACAGCATATAAAATGAGAATTTTTGGATGTTGCATCGTGAGTACATTTGTATGGTATACAGGGGAGATATTTAATCCCGCTGTAAAAAATGTCTGTGAATCATTGACATTTTCTGTGTTGGCAGACACAAAACATCAAGTAACTAAAGTAGTAATCATATGACTTAGTCAAGAAATCTCGTAAGTAGGAACTCTTTCTACGATTTTCAATGAATGAGCCTGTCCAAAGAATGTATTAACAAGTACATTGTCACTTTGAAATGTTCCCAGTATTATCATTAAAGCTAACTATAAGCTTATTTTTGTATTACATGTATCAAATTAAAATGTTCCCACTGCATATACAAACCATGACTTGATCTTTTTGGAATCTTTCAAATGATTGCTGCATCAACCAGTATGTTAGTGGACGTGTTTTTCACTTCGCTAGGAGTTACTAAATGGCCTGATCATGAAAGTGTCAGCGGGCAGACCACACACACACACTCAGCACACGGTTGGGTGTTCGTAATAAGGAGTTCTGTGTAGGTTCAGTCATCCAGTTCATGTTAAATTGAAGACTTATCCAAAGGTACCTGGACTTCTTGAAGACCTTGAAGCTGTTTCACCTCTCCTCTGAAAGGCTTCTTCAGTCTGAACTAACTGGTGGACAAGGCTAGAAATATAAGCCTCTGTGGATCATCAGCATGCTATTTATCAAGGATGGTAACACTGGAGTCGTTAGGTGAGTTATTGACCTAGTTTCACCAAGAGTCTTTAACACCCCTGCTTGTCTGTTGGTTGTTAGGGTCACATGTTCCAAGGTGGCACTAGGGCTTCAGTGTTTTGAGAGGGAATTTAAAAGAGCATTGTGAGTTGGTGTCTTAGACCACCATCTCTGCAAAGGGATGGCTTTTCAACCTTGACATGAATGGCTTCTTTAACTCTCCTTTCAAACCAACAGTCTTTCCTGGCCAAGATATGCACCTTGCAATCTGCAAAGGAGTGTCTTTGGTCCTTTAGATGTCAGTGGACAGCAGAAACGTGTCCTGAAGAGCTGGCTTTCCTATGCTGTGCCATGTGTCTGTGTAGTGGTTGTTTAGTCTCTCCAAAGTATAATCCCTACATTCTTCACTGCACTGGATAGCGTAAAAAACATTGCTTTGCTCATGCCTGGGAGTTTTGTTGTTGGGGTTGACCCAACTTCTGCCTCAAGGTGTTGGAGTAAACCAAGATGTTGTGTCTGTAAAACATCCTCTTGAGTTTCACAGATAGTCCAAACAAGTATGGAATAACAGTGCTGAGACGTATGTTTTTCTTCTCTTCCTTGTCAGTGCTGTGTTTCTTGAAAGTCTTGACGAAGGCCAATTTCAGGTAACCACCTTATTGTGAATAACACTTATCCTTAATAAATTCAAAATGGATAAGTAATCAAAAATTAATCCCCCGACAATTTGTGCTGATCAGGACATGAGCTAATGAGACCTATTTGTTTTTTTTTAACCAGGCTGTAATAATGTTAATTACGGCTGTAAAAACAGGCTTTTTTGAATGGGCATGTATGTGACTTCCGTGCTTCTGCAGCCAGCCTGAAGTGGACACTCGACACACCGCAGGATTTTGAACTTCCTCATCGGATTCATTTTTCAACACCGGAGGTTGACGCTTAAGTTTGAAGCAGAGGTGTGGACTCGAGTCACATGACTTGGATTCGAGTCAGATAATAAACCAATAATAATCCCTGAACGCCCATAAAAGTAGGGTCCAAAATTAACCAGGGGAATCATTTGGGGAATAAGGTAAGTGAGGTTGGGGTTGATGCTCTCATCAGTGCTGTCAATAATTGCATCGCATCTTACAGTAGGTTCCCCCTCCCTCTTATTCCCACTGCTTTGAACAGCTCAATTTATGTAGTGCTTATTACCTTGTAAGAATAAGGATGACGAGTGGAAGACTACTTCTAACTCTCCTACTGGACATTATTTATCTGCTACACATACCTACCCACAACACGTGTGCGCACACACTCACACAAACACGATTTGATATCACTACTCAAGCCTTGTTTCTACCCATGCACAGTGGCCTTAGAGGCCCAAAGTGGCTTAGGCATCTATGGATGACCACTGAAGTCTTTAAAAGGAAAACATTAAATGGATTGCATAAGTAACTGTTTTTTTCAAGTATCTCGGCCATTTTCAAAAATATTTGGACAGTTAAAATCTTAGAACAACAAATTTGAAGTTGGGATTTTAAGTGTTGATAGAAGTAAGGAAAAAATTAAAAGGGTGGAACAGAGGAAAATAGGTCAGCCACTCTGCATCCCCAAAGCAACAAATATAAAAGCCCCTCTGTCTCCCCTCTCCCCATCAACCCTCTCTGTCTGACTAATCAAAGACAGATGTGTGTTCAAGAGGCCTTCATTCAGCCTCCTCCTCTTCTCCCCTTCCCTCCCTCAAGCACTCGCTGTCTCTGTTTCTCTTTCTCTGTGTGGACTTCCTACTCAGGCTCAGAGCCTCTCTGTTCTCCCCTTTGACTCCTCCTCCTCCTCTCCCCACTGCTCTCTGGCAGAGCAGGAAATACTGCAGGCTCCTGGCCCTGAAGGGAGCACATTTCTCCTAACCACTACCAGATGTAGGGATGAAGGAGTGAAGGGAAGGATTTGAGGGTGAAAGAGACCTGGGAAGAGCTGGTAAAACTGAGCTGGACTTTGAGATAATTATCAAGTGAAATGTTGAAGAAGTTGGAGGATTACATTTCCTATGGGAACGTTGGTGTGGTGCCTGTTTTCTGTATTTTCTTTCCCCCCGTCTTTTCCGCTTAAAAACAGAAGCAGCTGGAACTGAAATCTAATTCCATAAATGACGAAAAGACCTGAAACGCAATGCTCACTGATTTTGTTTTTTCATGTCTTTTAATGTTTTCTATATTATTTATGTGCCCTTTGTTTTTCTGAAACTTTTTTAAGTGTGCTGATGCGTGTCTTGGCAAGCACTCGCTTGAAAGAGTGATTTGTTTTGATACCTTGAGAAGTTTCTCCTGGTTAAATAAGTTAGAGTAAAACATTAAATTAGAAATACACGAGCTGGACATCATAGTCTCAGGTGTCGCAGATATCAAATGCTGGTCATCATATGGTTCAGAAAGAGAAAAGTATTGTGCGCACATCCAATGAAAAATGCATACAGGTGCAGGACAAAAAAATGTAGTGACTGCAGAATAAAAGAGACAGTTCTGCACACTGTTCAGCTCCAAATGAGCAATTTTATTTTAAACAGGGCAATGTTTCAATCCAAAAGACCTTCCTCATTAAATGGTTCAGGCCTTTTGGTTTCAATGGGCCTCTGAGTACAATGGTATCCATGCATCGACTTGATACTGCAGGGCTCTTCCTACGGCTCACAGAACTGGAACAAATAAGAACAAAAATAAGAAAGTAAGAACAAAAAAATTAAGAAATATATGAGGAAGTAGGTAATGGTAACTGATAAATATTGCCAACAGTCTGAGTAAAAACACACTGTGTTACACTGTTAACTGAAAAGTTGCATTGGCCATCAGAGGTCAGTATGGCATTCCTTACAAAAGCACTAGATGACATACTGTTTGCAAGTAGAAACTGAAATTCACAGATCTCACATGTTGTTAGGACACGGTGTTAGAGCTGCTCAATCTTAACCTCTATAATGAACATTATCAGTCCTCCCCGTTTTATCATCATTACAGCTGATAATGTAAATATTAAACTGATCAGTCCAAGACCAACTGGTGTTACTGCAAACTTAAAATACTTTTACCATTATTACTGGCTGATTGTAGCTAAATCTATCTTATTCATTGTTGTTGTTGTTGCTCTCTATCATCTATCCATCCCACTTTACAAGCCAAACACAGTTTTGGCAGATGGCTGTTCAATATGAGTCTGGATCTGCTCAAAGTTTCTGCCTGTTAAAAGGACGTTTATTCATGCCTCTGTAACTTTGCTCAATGATGCTTATTGCTGTGCACATGATGGATTCGTGTTGGGTCTTTGTAGATAATATAACAAAGAGTAAGGTCTTGTTCCTGCTCTGTTTTAACATGATAACAAAGAGTCAGTTATTTTAACTGCTCATTTGCAAAGTGTCATTTGCATTCTCATTCTTCCTGAGATTAACCCAGCTTCATGGCATACCATCACGGTAATATACCCCGACAAAACAAATTCTTATTGGGAAAAGAGGCAGCATATGTTAAAGGGCCCATCTATAGAGAGAATTAAATCATAAAATTCCCTTACTGAATAGACGTTAAGGAAACAATCTATTTTGAAGTGCTGGCTTCTCTGTCAACAACACAGCAGGCAGTATGTCCTCCTTCGATTCTGGTGCGGAATGGTTTGTTTATGTTTTGACCAGAGAAGGGAGGCGGTTTTAAGGCACCCCAACATGGCAGTTGTGGACTCCTCGGTTCGCCAGGCAAATGGCAAACCAACAGGTGTTGCAGCAATGCAAGAGGTCAAGCAAACTGATTGAATATTATTGAATCATAGTTGGGCAGAACAGACACAAATTATTTGTGCAGACGTTTCAAACCAACAGTGACTTTTCTGCAAAGTGAGACATGCATGTTGAGTTTCTCTACATGTGTTTACCTCCACAGGTGTATCCAATCACTAATTAAAGCTCGCTAAAAATGAAGAAGCTGCTGCACGAGCTGGTATGTAATTTCAAGCACCTTGTAGGCTATATACTTTTAAAGTACGTCTTACAATCTATCCCACAGAGATGTTAATTTCATAGTGTTCATGATAACACAATGTCTGACTAAAATCCATAATTGGGCCTAAATGATTGCATTGTCTGTCTATGCTCATTGTTACTAAGAGAGTCTTTTTTTCTCAATTTTTTTGGATCAAGCAATCACAGCTTCTGAATATCTTTTACAGAATTTTTGTGAATACGTGCCCTGCTCTTTTTGTAAAGTGTCTTGTGATTACATGTGCTATAAATTGGTGCTATACACATAAATATTGATTGATTTATTGACTAATAAACATGTTGTGTTTATTAGTCAATGTTTTCACCTTGGAAGATTAATGGCAGTGCTATGTGTAGCTCTGCTGCCCTCCAGAGGCCAGGTCCTACAATCACGTGTTCCCTGGTGTACCTTGACAGCCAAGGGGAAATGATTTGATACAATGTCCTACAGCTACACATTCCCACACCTCTCCCCTTGCATTATCAAATTGGAGCTCACAGTGACGTAAGGTAGTCACGACAGGCCCCAGTGCAAACTATTTTTGCCCCTGCGCACACACACACACGCACACACACACAAACACACACAATTAGACTATATATTTAGCAAAAATGTGTTAGATTGTAACA